AGTTATCTCGTCACATAACATTTAGTTTCTTGTATTTATATTCTCTGTCAAATAGCATGCCATCAAATTAAATAAAACATGGTACTTTTATGACATTCAATATAGGACGAATTTCAATTATAGAAATAATGAAAAGTACATTAAGAAATCTGAAGAACGTAACAAATCAATAATCTAGTTTTTGAAACAGAATTTATTCTCACGGCATTTGTGTACTTCTTTCGTTAAGGACATTGGTGGGAGATCTTGGTTATGGTTCCAAACAGCCAGTGAGACTACCCTATGACTAGTGCCCAGATTATCCCTGATCTACTGAGCACAGAGTTATTACTGGACAACTGAACTAATTCAGTGGAAACCCAGTCAGTGATGCATCAAAAGCTGTTCTTCATCTTAGAATAAAATAATAAAAAAGGAGCTTTAAGACATCATCAAAGGATGGTAAGGAAATGCATCGTATATGAAAATTATTCACAGAACTAAAGAAGAAGACCAAGGATAGTGAACCAAAATGAGTTTCAAATGGATGAGAGGAAAAGAAATCTTTACCTGAAGGAGTATGTGCATCAAGTATATAAAATCAGTCATGCTTCTAAAAACCACAAGTGTTGTCGTCATGGGCCAATCAAGAACTATGCATTTATTATCCTGCATCCAAATACAGGGAAATCAAGTTGAAAAGAAATGAACCAAAAAAACTTGTTTCTCAGTTACTGTCTTCTCCTCAGAAAGGCACCATTACAAATAGATAAAGAAAATTTGTAAAATTTAGAGACCAAAAACACTTGTTTCTCAGTTACTATTTTTTCCTCTCCATGGGTAGGAAGATGCTGGGCCTGTGGTGGGGTGTTGGCTTCACATACATTGTTGACCTAACAGCTTAAGTTGTTAGAGTATAGCGGTTGTCTAACAATTACATGTTAAGCTTATGTTCCTTTCAGGGAAATCCTTTCCTTCATCTTGTACAGGATAAAGATAAAAGGAAGACACTTTCAAAAACTGATAGAAACCCTTCAGAATTAAAACATATCGCCAATTCCTTAACATCAAAGAAGTCATATGGCACATACATGCTGAACTTAGTAGGATATGAAAAATAATCCCAAAATGCCGCCAAGAAAACAGTGAATAAATTGAATTTAGAATTCATGAAATGACAGGGCAGAAACAAACAATACCTTTTGAACATACAGCAAGAAGAAAAACAATGGATCTACAAAAATTGCTACTAAGCATGAAATGACAAAAAACTTGTTCCACTGTTGCACCACTTTAGCATGAGGGTTCATAACTCCAGGAATATATGGACGCAGAAATGAGAAAAATCTCCTCGCCCAGCCTTTGGCATCCCCATAGAGAGCATTATGGAACTGCAAACAGTTGACAATAAAAGAAATGTGCATAAGATTCTTGGAGTGCTTGTATACCATCATTCCAGAAAATAAAATCGAACATGTAAATTTTATGGTTAAATCTCAAGCAATATGGCTCGTTTGGGAGTGATTCTGGATAGGCAGAATCACTTCTGGGAAGAAGCACCTCCCACGTGCTTCTCTAGAAAATCACTTTTAGTGATTTTAATTTTAAATGAAAGGGATATATAATGCAGCTTGAGGGAAAATATTGCTTTTGCATACAGGGATGAGTTGAGTTTGTATCAAGAGAAAAGTATTTCGAATCCTGGAGCCGATAGGGACCCTTAGCATTGTCCCACAATGCCTAGATACCTTTGGTGGACCCTCTTTCCTTGTTAGCCTTCAGGGATGATTTTTCCCCATGGGTTTAACAACTTATGCCGCCACCGTTAACATAACGCTGCAATCATACACAAATACTCCTCTAGGATCACTGTCATTTGTCTATAAACAATATCATCCCAGCTCTGTAGGAATCTGAACGAACCATTCACCAAGAGAGGGAAACCACTAGGGGTACAGACATTGTATCCATTCTCGGCCACTATTGATTCACCATGTTCACTTGCCCTTCGTCAATTTATCAAGTAGTCCAATCTACTAATACGCTTTTACCATGAAGCAAAGGGGAAGAAATGCAAAATTCTAATTTGTTGCTACCATTACTTCCTCAAAATTTTACAGTAACATACCAAAGAATAAGTAAAGTTGATGGGATTTAGTGGCATCTAACTAAATGAGAAGCCTGAGACAGCCGAGCTCCTAATTATTTGACGGGATTAGACGCAAAACTATAAATATTTTGGTAGAGCAGTTATTTTAAGTGGTCATCATGCAGAGCATATCATAAAAGGCAGCAACAATGTAAAAATAGAAAATAAAAAGCCCTCTGAGTAAAGAAAGAAAAACACCTGGGGATCAAATATACCGGAAGCCCTTGAGTGTTGTGGTTGAGCAGCCTTGAGATTGTATGTTGGGCAAGTTGTGCAGTAAGGATCATTGCACATCCCTAATTGCCCAGATCTCAGTAAGTGTTCATTTTTTCCAGCATAGTTGTCATCTGTCCATTCATTCTGGTTTGTCACATTAGTAGAAGGAAACTTTTCTCCTGCAGGTTCGACTGATTCTTCTTGCCCTGGTACAGCTTGAGTTGGCCGTAAAATGTTATCAGGCCTGCGTCTATATAATGGACCACTCATAGGGAGGAATGGAGTTTTTGTTTGACTCCTCAAGGGACCAGTATGGCTTACAAGGCTAGCCTCCCTTTCATATGACAAGTCCACAGAGTCCATAGGAATGGAAACTGATGCACTTCTGGTTCGTGACGTAAATCTCTCAAATTGTAAGTGCACATTTTCATCTGATAATTGTGGGTGAGTGCCCGATAGCATGGGTACCTCTTCTCTTTCATAACCAGCCATATCTCACAAATTGGGCCTGAAAAAGGCGAAGATAATATGAATTGCAATACATGGGCATTGATGCTAGTTTAATTTTAGTTCATAAGGTTGAAACTTCATTAAATCAACTCCAAGGAAAAAAAAGAAAAAGAAAAAAAGAAGAAGAAATAGATAGTGAAGATGAAAGACGCTTGCAGCAGGGATGCCAGGGAACAAAGCTTAAATGTGTGGCGAAGAACATAAGACTATATCACTTGCAAATTAACTTACTATTTTTCCTTTTTGCTGCTAGTTTTAAGGCATAAATTTGCAGTACTTCCAACTTTGAGTTTGAGCTAGGCACATTCTCAGGCACGCATATATAATAGAAAAATTTAAGAGAAAACATACACATGTTTAAAAGGATCATTCATGCTGAATATTACTAGAAACAAAAGAAAAAAAAAAAAAAAAAAAAAAAAAAAAAAAAAAAAAAAAAAAAAAAAAAAAAAAAAAAAAAAAAAAAAAAAAAAAAAAAAAAAAAAAAAAAAAAAAAAAAAAAAAAAAAAAAAAAAAAAAAAAAAAAAAAAAAAAAAAAAAAAAAAAAAAAAAAAAAAAAAAAAAGCAGCATGCATTATTGGAGCTGAATATATGTAATGGGAAGAAAAGAAAAGAGAGAGAGGTAGCTGTTAAATTACCTGAACCCCAAGGAGAAGCAAAGTTTAATAAGTGGTTGAACCTGAAACTGGAGGATCTTACGTACGAATTAACAAACTTAAAAAGACACATTCTTTCTTTCTCATCACGGGGGAGCGAGAGAAGAGAGAGGTCGTCGAAGACTAAAAGCGTTGACTGAGCACAAGGACTAAGAAGGTAGAGAGAGAGAGAGAGAGAGAGGAAGCCAGTTGGATGGAATGGAAGAATAAGATACTAGACTGGTAAAACAGAGGAAGCTTCGATAAAAATAAAAATAAAAATTGGAAAGGCAACGTAGGCTTTGGTTGGAGAGGTGGCACTCTAAACTCTAAAGGAGGCGAGGACGGACGCGGTCATTCTACCGCTGCCAGACAAGAAGACAAACAAACCTTTCAAATCAAATGTATGCAATTATTACTCTATTAATAGTATGCTACCCCTCCTTCCTCCTTGTTTACTTTTCTTTGTTTTGCTCTGTGTGTCTGTGGTAGGTTTTTGACCCAGGTAGGAGCTGACTGACCTCAAACTCCATGGCTAGCTAATGGCTTTGAAGAATGACGGGGGCCCCAGACCCTGAGCGAATCGGAAGGCACTAAAACAGAGGAAGCTTGCCAATGGCCAATTGCCAGACTATGAAATCAAATTCCAACTCAAACACTTGATTATTTGTTAACTTAAGTTAAGCCTATGGTATTTTCAGTTATTAATAAATGATTCGCAAATCATTCATGAATGACATAATTATTATGACTCGGTAAATTATTGGAAACTTGAAACTGAAATGGAATTCATTATGACTCAGTAATCCAAATTTAAGCATATCGTTGGTGGGTGGGTGTCCAGCAGAGACACTTGGTGGGCTGCATTGGACGCTTATTAAACCCATCTTGATTTGGGCCAAAGTTTGTTCCTTCTGTCCTTGATCCATATTATTATTAATTACCACCCCACCACCAGACCAGACTACCTCTGACTTAATTAGAAGATTAAATGTTAATTAGGAAAAAAAGAAGAAGAAGAAGAAAGAAAGAAAGTCTTGGCCCCTACTTTCTAATGTTCTATGGTGCAGGTGGAACAGGAAATGCAGATTGTCAACATTTATGTTAATTAGATATATTCTAATTGGGCTCTTGAAAATTTCTCTATATATGTTCTACACTTTTATTTCTTTTCAAGCAAGATATTGAAACTAACAGAGTGGGACTGAGTCAAATCAGGCTCTTGAAAATTCTATCACAGGTAGCTTCTAACTTCAACTGCTAATTAACTCAAATAGCACAGAATTTGCTATTGATAATTAGTTTTTCTTTTATGCAATTGATTTCCTTCATCTTATATGCATGCAAAAATGCCAAAAAATTACTACATTAATAATTAATTTTCTATGAAAAATCTAAAGAGAGAGAGAGAGACTCATCCACATTACATATATACACTTACGCACGGTAATGAACCAAGTCTTTACCTGCTTCAAAATCTAATATAAAGTCTACACCTGCTTCGATCCACAGGGAAAATCCAAGACCAGTTCATGAGTTTCTGTAATCTATAAATAGCAAGTGTCCCACGCAGGATTTCCAAAGCAACTCTTCTTCTACACAATATATATTCTAAGATTTAAAGAGAGATACAGAGGAGAGGGGACAAATACGAACGATGATGAAAGGTGTTCATTTCCCGCTATCTATTGTTGCCACATTGGCATTGGCCACCTTCCTCGTCTCTGCCTCAGACCCCAGTCCTCTGCAGGACTTCTGCGTAGCAATTAATAACACCGAATCTGCTGGTATGTACATATGCATATGCATGCACTTCATTATTTTCATATTGTAATTAGTATAAATTAATTACTAGTAAGATATATTGTTTTTGCATGGCTCATCATCCATATATATGTACAATCCCTCAATAGTATATATGCATATATAGGTTTTAGTGAAATTTAAAGATTGGTTAACTTTTGTTCGTTTGTGTTTGTTTAACTTTGTCTATACAAACAGTGTTTGTGAATGGGAAATTCTGCAAGGACCCGAAGCTTGTGACTGCAAATGATTTTTTCTTCTCCGGGCTCAGAATTCCTGGGAACACATCAAATCCGGTTGGTTCATTCGTGACACCAGCGAATGTGGAGCAAATAGCTGGACTCAACACTCTTGGCATATCCCTGGCTCGCATAGACTTTGCACCAAACGGCCTCAACCCTCCTCACACCCACCCACGCGGCACAGAATTTCTCATAGTCTTGGAAGGCACACTCTATGTTGGCTTCGTCTCATCCAATGGCGACAACAATCGGCTGTTCACCAAGGTGTTGAACAAGGGAGATGTGTTTGTGTTCCCAGTTGGTCTCATTCACTTCCAGCTCAACGTGGGACACGTCAACGCTTTAGCCGTTGCTGGTCTGAGCAGCCAGAACCCAGGAGTTATCACCATAGCCAATGCAGTGTTCGGGTCAAACCCTCCTATTAACCCTGATGTTCTAGCCAAGGCATTCCAGATCGACGACAAGGAGGTTGAGTATCTTCAGAAACAGTTCTGGTACAACAACAATTAATAATCAGATTATTCATAACAAAAGGCCAAGGCACTAATATGCATGGATTTAAGGTGGCCAATATGAATTTTCTCTAAGCTCTACACAAACTATAATCTAAATCTAGCTAATGTTATTAATTAAATAAGATAGTTTGTTTATGCAATCTTGTAATCCTAGCCCCTCAGTGGCATGTTTTGAGTATTAATTGATATTGATATAGTAGTGTTATGTGCGTTCTATCTCGATGCCTCTGACTTGACTTAAATCAAAAGATGCAGTTGTAGCTAGCTAGCAAGCTGGTTAACTTCCTCATGGGTCCTTCATTAGTTAAAAGGTTCAACAATCCTTCCATCAAATCTGCTCATGGTCCCATTAAAACTCTATATCACTTGGATTAAAAGAAACAAGCACCCTGCAGTAAAACGATAGCTATTCTTAAAATTTAATTGAATCAACTTTGGCTTGATTTTAGCCTTCCAACGGTCTCTATCTACATATATTACATATTCCAATTTTCGAAACAAATACAAGGAAAAGCATTATATATACATTTGTGTAACCAAACTAAACAAAAAGAAACAGAGAAGCTATATGCATATGGAACCACTTCCATGCATAGGTAAAGATGCAAAGAAAAAGGGGGTGGAAGCGGGGAAGTTGGTCACTCCTCTCTCTCATCCGAGGTTGGATGCTATCTGAATGTAGCAAAGCTTGATGTGGAATTAAAAACTACTCGATGAGTTGTTAAAATGATTTAATTAAGATTCTGAGCAGTCACCAGCGTTGCCTGGAGAGGAAGAATTCATAGTCCGGATGCCTGTTTACAGATGTCATACTTCCTTTGTTCACAACAGCTCTTGCCATAAGAGATGCTGCCCCCTCAAGTGTCCTCAAACGCTCTTCTAGTACTGCACAAGGGTTTAAGCCCGGTGTTACTGTTGTCTGCCTCAGTGTTGAGGGCCTTAGCTGGAACCAGCATTCATCCTGTTCAAGTGACAGATAGTATATATTGATTAATAAGCTTCACAGATCTTACAGTATGCATTAACTGCATGCCAAAGCTATGCTATGCACTGTTAGTCATGACTACCTGAGCATTGTAACTTCGAAGACCTACAACTGGAGATACTATACAAGAGTCCACATTACGAGACTCAAATTTGGCATGTCTATGGACAAAATGACCAAGTGAATGGTAAGTTAGAAATGCCGCACGGAAGTTGCCATCAGGTATCCTGTAAATAGGATACCATGCCACTGAGTACCTGAAAACCAGATGACACTTGAAAGTCACCTACTATTTAGAATCCACTCAGTGTCAATTGTATTAATGTCTGCAAAACACATTAATTCACATTTTTAAAGAGTCTGAAGCCAGTTTGATTACTAACCAGGATCTGGGATGCAGATCATTTAGATTTATAGAGTCTAGTTTAGTTGGATCTCCATATACTTTGGAATGTGACAGTCCATCACCTCTAACAAGCTCCTTTATCCTGAAAGGGAGGGAAACAGGATAAGATCATCAGAAAATACATAAAGTAAAAAGCATAAAAGGATACTTACTTGTCATATAAAGGTCGTCTCTCCTGAGGTTGTTCTGATTCAAAATATTCAAATAGTAGCTCTAAATCACTGGACCCTGTTGTGTCAGCTAATTGAGCAGATACATCTTTGGCAGCAGCTGAAGATTGTTCTGAAACACACAATTGATTTACAAGTGGTGGGGTTACTGCATGTTCCTTGTGATCAGGGTGAGGAAAAAGTACTGAAAATATTGGAAGACTACCAATGCTAGAGAATTTTTTGGGTGTCTTACTGATCCTGCATGTGCTTAACTCCTGAGAACTATGAAGCCTATTGTTAATATCTACAGAATCAGTACATCTACCGTTCCTGAAAAGCTGAATTCCTGACAAATAGGGGACAAAATAAGCACGAAATGCAAAATGATCAGCACCCAACCTCTTTGAATTTCCAAATTCCTCTGCCCTTATTTCCAGCCCATAACTACCATATTTCTCATACCACTGCCATAGGCATCCTAAAGTGATCTGAGGTGTCTCATGTCTGCAAAATGACACACCACCAACCTGATCCACCTGGTTCCTTGAGCAGCAAGTATAACAACTTATAGAATTCGGCGATTGATGGATAACAGGGGAGGAATAATAAAGAAGTCGTTCAAATTCAGCAATTGGACGGCCAGTGGCCATTTGAACAGCTTCGGATGCCAATTGTGCCCTACAAGCATTATTCACTGCTTCAAGTATTCTGTTTGACTCTGCTTCAAATACATTGAGATCTTTGGATACTGCAGAATCATTGATGCGGTTTGCTACATCAAGCTTGTTATTGGCCAGATCTTCAATTGTGCTTGATTTTGAAAGCCTTCCATCAATTGCATCAGAAGAACAGGTTACATCTTCAGAATTCTGAGAACAGGTTACATCTTCAGAATTCTGACCTGTGCACCCTACTGCAACTTTAGAAACTAGATTTTGAGCATTGGACACCACATTCCCTTTAGCAGTGTCTTTAAGAGCCCATCTCTTAGAAGCAGCCTCATCAGAATGTTCAAGAGATGAACTGCCAGATCTAGTAGAGCTTGGCAACCCAGGATTCTTCGACCCAATCGGCATCCACTTGTGTGTAAGAGATCCAGAACTACTAGAGTTTTGCCTGCTGCTTTCCGCAAGAGAAACTTCTTTCTGTACTTCTTGACTTGTTGCGTTACAAAGTAAATGAGGAAGGTAGACTGGAGACTGCAACTGAAGCAGATTTGATTCACTCAAGGAATCCCATTTTCTTTGCACCAAGCTATTCTTGTTTCCTACACAGACACTTTCAAGATGATCCTTTTCATTTTGACAAAGTTTCATGTTGTGACCTGATTCAGACGTCATGCATTCTACTTTGCTGCTCTGATATCCACCCCTTGGACAGCTAGGCGGAGAACAAGATCTCGAAACAAGACTTAAGGATTTCTTATCCTTCAACTGAGAAGAGATATCCAATATATCATTCTGACCCATCCTGGCCTTCGCACAACCATCTAAGCCAGCAATGCTGGCATGTGAACCCTTTCTGGAATAAAAATTGTATTCTTGTTTCAAAGATGGCCCGGTTTTTCTTTTCAATTTCTTAGAGACCTTATCTTTTTGCTGCTTTTTATCCTCACTCTTCGAAAAGGCATTTACATCAGCAACATTAGAGGTTCTTTTAAGCAAGGGAGCCTCTCTCAAAGGGAGATCAAGCCGTGAGTAAACAGAACTTGCCTTTTTCAACTCACCAGTGCAGTCACTGGAATCATTCCTCTGGACCTTTTGCCAGACAGAATGATTGTTTTCCTTTCCTATACGAATATGCAGATTTCCATTACTTCCAAATTTAGAGACATTTGCAGTTCGCGGTGCTACTTTGTTTTGTTTACTTCTCTTGTTAGGCACAACCAATTGCATGTCATTACTGCGACAACCCTGAATACCATGCCTTGCTTCCTCAGTGTGATCATAATTGTCTACAACATCATTTAAAAATCTTTGACAAGAAAAACGTCCCTTCCCGGAACTCAAACCTGGAGGTTTAGAAATATCTATCTTGAAAATTTCCTTCTCAGCGTGTTTTTCATCATGACCAGCATTAGTACTATCACCACTGTTTGAACCAATTGAAATTGAATCCAAAACGAAGGTGTCATGCATATCAGAGTAACCTTTGGTATACATATCACTGTAACAGCTCACCTGTGTATGAATACCCTCCACGTCATCAAAGATGGGAAATCCAGAGTCTTTAAGTAGAAGCTGATTTTCAAAATTGCCAGCAGAAGGAATACCAACCTCATCACTGGAAGAGGTGCACGTGTTTGGTGTTTCAGAATTCTTGGGGCCGCTATCTGGCAATGAAATTTCTGGTGCAGTTGAAGACGACACTTGTCCGTCCCCATCATTGTGACCACAGGGTTCAGAAGCTGAACTTCCATTGGCATATTCCTCAGACAACACTTCCGGTTCATTAGACACCTTCGTGCTCTGTTTTCCCTTCTTTCTACTCTTCTTTCTGGAACTTCTTTTTGCAATGCTGTTTATTTTTTTATTACCAATGCTCATAGTTGAGGAATTAAAAGAGTTAGAACCATTTGGGATGGTACTTGAGGAATCACTGCAGCCATTATGGAAAGATTTCCTGGAAAGTTCATTCCATTTAGTAGCTTTATTTGCCAAAGTCTTATTTCGAGATTGGTGGCGCACAGCTGAGCCAGTGAACCTTCTACCTGTAAATGACTTGACAGAATAAGTAAAATCAAGAGGAGGCCCTTTCTGCATCTTTTGTCGATTAACCTTGAATGGATTAATTGGTGGTGGGTAAACCAGATGCAGAGTATCCATATTGACCAGAGTACCAGATACCAAGTGATTTATATTGTCAGGACATAGCGGCGGCAGTGCCACAGTTCTCCAATGTCCGTCAGGTTCACGGAAAAGCACTGAAAGGATAGGACACCTGAGAAGTTAAAATAAGTGATGAATAGACAGTCAGTTCCTTGACGCTCCCATCAATCAACTCAGCTTGTCAATGAACAACAATAGATCAGATGATTCTACCTGCCATACCAAAACACTGGCCCATACTCTACATTAATGGTAACTAGTACAGTAGTACTCTCATCATGCATGCAAAATCTCATTACGCAGATTAAAAAAAATCCTATCTGGAAGGAAGTGCTAATGCAAAATCTCAGTAATAACAGCAAAAAGATAGGGACCATGTACATGGGCATATATGCATATGCCCATGTATTATGTATTAGATGTACATATGCATTATGCATAGCCAACAAGCCTATATAGTGTAATCGAGATATGATGATTGAGAAATATGCAAAACCATCGAAGAAACAGTGGTATAAACATACGTACTTAACAATTAATCAGAAGACAGAAAACACGTGAACTAAATCTATTGGATTAGTTTCACCATAGAGCTGTGAGAAACAATCAATTAGGCAATGACAATTGAAACAACATTATTACCTACGATCAAAGTTCCTCCCTGTGAAATAAGGCACTTCACAATCCTGAAAATGGTAGTAATCCAGAGAAAACTAGTCAGATAATCAAATTCAGTTCATAGCAGAAAAGTGAAGTATATCAAATTATTTTGCAAAATAGACATATATATTACATCTAAAGATGTTCTGAAACTCTTTTGCTCTTTCTTTGATAAGGAATATCTTCGAGTGTCCGAATTTTTCTGGATATCACTGTTAGTTCTTTGAAGGGCACAATGCATCTTTTACAGTGCCTGTCCATATCATTAGCACACAATATAAAACAGTTAATGATGGTCTGATACAAAAAGGTTTTAATGTATTCAAGATTTACACACTTCACACTATCAACAGAAATACAGGATAAATTTTGCCGATCATCCTGGTTCTCTTTTGGGTGGGTTTGGTTCTGGTTACGAGTTCCATTTGTCTACAATAATACTCTTAACACAAAACTAACACAACACTACCATAGGAAAAACAATGCATTAGTAAGTGTATCAATCCAGTCGAATCAAATATAAGGAAGGTTGATAATCACGTAAAGGGAAAACCTTATTTGAACTTTGACAAATAATTTCAAATTAGGAAATCCGGAAATGAAAGTATAATTCATACTCTTCCAAATATTCATACTCTACGGATGAGAACATTAACGAAGAAGGCAAAGTACCTCAAGCTGTTGAAGATGAAGGTCCAAACAAGGACAGAAGTTGATTCCCTTTGATCATCAAACAAGTAGAAGGCATTGGTTCATAACATACAAGCTGACAACCAAACATAGGTCACATTCACCACTGCTACAAGTGCCCGTTTATACAAAATGATCGAAATTTAAAGCACAAATACAAAGATACGTAAAAGAAAGAAACCAGAGAAAATAGAAACTACAATGGCTTGCTCACAATCCTCAGACTAAAATTTTATCTACCAGTCAAAAGAAACCCACTTATCAAATTTAGACAGAAACCTAAATTTCCAACTAACAAAACCCAGCTAAATTTATCCAACAAAATTCCGGGAACCAAAAGAAAGAAGGGAAATAGCCTGCATGGTTATTTTTTGCTATGGAATTGGCTAACTTGAATCGTTGATTAGGAATCTAGTACTAAATTTGACAAGAACCCAAAAATCAAAATCACCGAAAAATTATCTAATTTTTTTAAAAGATCGCAGAAAAAGCTCCCCAAATTTAGCTGTGAGGTTTAGAAAAACAAGAGTGTATAGCAACAGCTAATAAAACATAAAAAAATACTAGAGGCACCATAGCCTAACACGTCGAAAGTACACACTTTTCCAAATGATATGCTTAAAAAACCGGACTTTTAGTGCCCATAGCCTGGCAAACAAAATTGGAGATGGAGGCCAGCCTCCAGCCTCAATATTTGGAGTCTATAATTATGACTACTTAAACAGAAAACTTTATCTTTTTTTTCTTATATATTTAAAACATACATTTGTGTATTTTATCACAAAATTATATGTAAAACTTCATCCTTTTTGGGTCATAAATATATATAAAGACCTGATGCTTTAACATTGGTGGTTGAGTTGAGTTGATGAAGAGAGTCTTGAAAATTCACATACCATGGTGAGCTGTTTTTATTTGTATCGATGGGCCCCTTTGAAAACAACTGATGCTATGTTTCAGTGGTTAATAGACCACTTGGCGGCAAGAAAATTTACGTTCTGTTTTACTCACGTGATCGACCAAAAAAATAAATAAATAAATAAATCTTTAACTCATGTTTTTGGTCGAACGCAGAAGGAAAAGAAAAAAAAAACTTCACAAACGACAAAAATTGCGTCAGAAAAAGAGAGCAGATAGCACGAATGAAATGAAAAATGTTGTGCAATCGCAGCTTCCCCATTCCTCCGATTAACAAAGTCACCACCGTCATCACCCAACACAACGTACACAATCACAAACGCCTCGACATTCTCAGACTGTTTCAGTCTCATCAGACTCGCACAATGGAAGTGGAGGCCAACACCAACAGTTCCCATACGAGGGCCGTGGGGTTGGACTTCCTGACAAAGAAGGCCTACACTCCTCCTTCCTGGGCATCCCATATCAACCCCATCCCTTCTCATATCTTCTCTCTTGGACACGTACGATCAAATTCTAACCTTCCTCTTCTTCAATTTTTCTACATGATTATGGTTTCTGTTTGTATTGATCAGCTAATCACTTGTCAGCTTCCAACTCCAATTCACAAATGGAATCTTCCTAATTTGCCCACCAATACTGAAGTCTGGTTGAAGGTATTTCTTTTCTCTCATTTTTCTCTTATGTTTTCTCTTTCTCCTCACTTATATTTGCTTTCATATAGAAAAATCCCAAAAATCCCATTTGGGTTTTGTCAAATGTTTGGTATTGTCGACTGTCTGTTCCTTGTTGAGTCCCTTTATAGACTGATCAATTCTGAAAGTTCCACTTAATCAAAAGTTGAGACCTTTAAATGTAAAGTAGTAAAATTTCGTATGCAATTTCTCTTTTTTAAACCTTCAATATGCTTTAAGTCGTTGAATTGTTGCTTTGGTTTTGTGTTTTCACTTTCCTGGTTTACACTGACATAAATATTTGCAAATATCTAGCGTGATGATCTTTCGGGAATGCAACTGAGTGGTAACAAAGTAAGAAAATTGGAATTCTTGATGGCGGATGCCGTAGCAAAGGGTGCTGACTGTATCATAACGATAGGGGGCATCCAAAGTAACCACTGTCGTGCAACTGCAGTGGCTGCCAAGTATCTCAATCTTGACTGTTATCTCATTCTACGTACCTCTAAGGTGAATTTCCATCTCTCAGTTTTAGCACTTTTTTCCCCATCTCTTTGCTTAATGCCTCATTATGCACTGCAGGTTCTCGTGGACCAAGATCCTGGACTGACAGGCAATCTCCTTGTTGAACGTCTAGTTGGAGCTCATGTTGAACTAATTTCAAAAGAAGAGTATGCAAAATTCGGCAGTGGGGTGTGTTAGTTTTGCTTTTCCTTTGAATTAACCATGTAATTTTTAATGTTTATCAAGTAATATTTAATTAAACACACATTTTCTTATAGCTTATTGAATGTTCCTCCTTTAATCTTTTTAGCAATGTTACTGTCTCTGGTTGAAGTCTGAAGTTGAAACACCGATCTCTGGCTAAGTAATTATTTTAAGACGCATTTTTTATAAACTGCATATCAAGTGATATTTGTGGTTTAAGTGGACAGTGTCTCAACAGATAGGGGAAAAAAAACCATACAGCCAACTATCTTACTGTTCTTCCAACGTGCATTTTTGTTTTGGTCGAGAACATGCATTTATGATACTAATGAATTTATAGATTACCTTTGCTAAATCTCTAGTGATTTGGGTTCTTATATTCAATTTGGTCTCAGGCTCTTACTAATCTCTTAAAGGAAAGACTGATAAAAGAAGGAAGAAGGCCATATGTTATTCCTGTTGGTGGATCAAACTCCCTAGGAGTCTGGTGAGATTGGGTTTGCCTTTCTATTGAAATGTGCATAAACTGTCTGTTTAATAATAATTTGTTTCTGTACACTTTAACTGCTGTATTTTTCCCTCTATCTCCTTTTTATCTGCCATATATTTTTTAAGTTTTCATTTTGGGTCCCTAGTATTTGATGCAATTTCTTTGCTTCACAGTGGAAATGAGAAGTATTTCCTATTTTGCAACCTGAAGTTTTCTAGTTTTCTTGACTTTTGAAAGCTCAAATCTGTATTGGAAATATGGTATCTGGTACCTGTTCTTCAATTTAATCCATCGTAACTCGTGTCATATGGTTTAAACCTAATGGTTGGGGTCTTCAAAATGAGAAGGGAGAAGGGAGGGGTGAGGGTTGTGAGGTTTCAGTTTCCCGTTCAAAGTTGATTATGACGGCTTCCATTTCTTTTTTGTTGATATTATCACATTTGCGTTAAAAAAAAAATTTATATTCAGGGGGTATATTGAAGCAATTCGAGAGATTGAGGAGCAGCTTCAGAGTGCGACCGACAAAGTAAAGTTTGATGATATTGTTGTTGCTTGTGGCAGGTGCTTTTCTATGCCATCTTATTTTGAGTTGATATAACAACTCCTGCATGCCTGCCATATGTTACAAATTTTTTCATGTCCTTTATGTATGGATCTTGAGATATGGAATTGTCAATTTCTAGTCAGTTTTGATACGAGACAGTAGGATCCTTGAATCGAAACCATTTGTTTTTTGTCTACTCAGCCTTGTTTTCGTATTTGACTGCTCTCACTTTCCTTTTGTTGTGAGAAGTTTTGGAACTTCACTATTATTTTATTTTTTGGATTTCTGTGTCTGAATTTTGATTAAGAATTCAGAGCTAAAGTTACTGTACATCTCTCTCTCTCTCTCTCTCTCTCTCTCTCTCTCTCTCTCTTTGTGTATTAGCAAATTTTTTTTTATGTTTTTCACGAAACCAA